AGCAATCTTTCTGTAAATCTAAGATCCTTCTGAAATAAAAGATTTATTAACAAAGATTTGGATGGCACCAGCACCTTTTTGCCCGCCCTCCTGCAGCTAGGGGGTCATCACTGATCTCTCTCCACTGGCTCTGCGGATCCTCTTGGTGAGAGACCTTCTCTCCTTTCTCAGCCTGGGGTCGTGGATAAGCTCTTGCTCGGCAGCGGGAAGCCTGAGTTCTAGCCCCAACTCTGCCGCCATCCACTGTGTGATGTGACCATGTGTAACTGATTCCCCCTCCCCCATGGGCCTCAGTTTACCCATCCAATCAATGAGAAAGTAAGACTAGAAGGCTTTTCAAGTTGCTCCATGAAGGCAGGGGTGGTGTCTGATTCACACAGTTTCCCCAACTGCTAAGACAGTCCCAGGCGCATGGTAGACACTGAATAAAAGTTTGTTGAATGAATAAATAAATGGACATTGCTCTAATATTCTAACATTCTAACTATAAATTGAAACTTCTAGAGTCAGCCCAATGTCCCAGAGTCTCCTCTCTTGTGCACTTGATTTTAAGCTCCCTGAGCCACATCTTTGTGTCTGTCTCCAGTATTGCTCATGGTGACTCGATAAGCATCTGGGCAACGGGTGAGAAGAGCTGCACCTGCCGGATCAGACCCTGCCAGCTTCCAACTCCCTGGAGTGCAGGCAGAGTGGTACCTGCTGAGACGGGGCTTGTGCCACATCTAGAGCCCGTCAGTCATGCTGGGTGTCATCCTGGCTTCTGGGAGCTTGGGGGGTCTTCCTAAGGGATCTATCTGCCCCTCCTTAGCATCCTTCTCCAAGCCAGGACTCCCAGGCCCTAGTTAGGAAACGCTGGCAGATAACTTGGAGGAAGATAGCTCAAGCCCAGGGAGAGGAGAAGCTGGAAGTCACCGAGAACAAAAGCCCTGCCCCTTCAATTGTCCAGAGACCCAGATTTCAGGCCCAGGCCCCAATCTTCTCAGCATCCATGCCGTGAGACCTGGGCAAGTTCTCCTCTGTGCCTCTGGCTGGCCCTCCTCCCAGAGCCGGGGCAAGGACAGGTGAAAACAATGATCAGTGCCCTTTCCAGTTCCTCAGCGGGGCTGTGCTCTCTGGGCACTTCCTCTGCCCAGAACATCTTCCCCACTAATGGTCATGGCATGCTTCAGAGAGCAGCTCCCGGCAGGCGGCAGGCTGTAGAGTCTCCCCGACGCCCGCCCAGACTCATGCCACTGTGTGCACGGCAGGCCCTCGGAACACCCCGTTCACCCCCATCGGAACTCGCCACCCTCGGCTGGGATCGCTCATGTGACCGTGTCTTGCTCACCACTTGGCCCCACGTCCAGCATGGTGCTTGACACATAAGTAGTAAATAAGGTCTGCAGAACAGACAAATGAGTGAATAATCAAAGAAGTGTGTGGGCAAGGGAGTTATTAAGTGCTCTATAATCTTATAATATTTGGATAACTTACCTCAAACTTCCTAGGAGAAGTGGTAAGTTTTTTTTTTAAAGCAGCTGTAAAAATAATAAAAATAACAGTAATAGCCCCAATCACTTGTTGTGATTGGCATGCTGCAAAAGAGGGCAAACAGGAGCAGATTTCCTGTCCTCGGTCTCCCTCCCAGCCCCTGTTCCTTCTTCCCACCTATGTCCTCATTCTCGCTGTCCCCGTCTCTAGGTCTCTCTCCCTCCCCCGTCTCTCTGTCTCTGTCTTTCACAATCTGTCTCCGTCTCTGTTTCTCTCCTCGCTCTGTCTCTTCATTACTGTCTCTCTCTTTTGCTGTCTCTCCCTTTCACAGTCTCTGCCTCTCTATCTCTGTCTCTCTCTGTCTCTGTTTCTTTCTCTACCATCTCTCAGTCTCTGTCTCTATCTCTCTCACTATCTCTGCCTCTGTCTCCCTCTCTTCCCTCTCTCTATCTCTGCCTATCTCCTCCCCACCCTCCGTCTCTCTCTCGTGTATTTTCCACCATCCTCTCCAATCCCTCTCCCACCCCATCCCCCCTCGCGGAGCGCTCTCCATGTGTGCCAGGCACCTCGCAGATGAGATCTCACGTTCCTTCCCAGCCACCTGGTGCTGCCTCACTTGTGCTCTGGGGGAAACGTCACTGTGCCGTGGTCAACACCGTGGGCTCTGGGCTTTGGAGCGGGACAGATTTGCCTGGTTCCAAGCCCAGCTCCTCCACCTGCTGGTTCTATGACCTTGGTCAAGGGCCTGACTCATTTCTCTGGGCCTCAGAATCCTTATCAGAAAAATGAGGTGAAAACACCCCTCTCAGAGGACGGCTGCTAGGATTAAATGAGACGGTGTTTGGGAAATGCTTAGCGCTGTGGTAGAACGCCACAGATGTGAGCTCTCTCCTTCTGCCGTGGTGACTGCTCGTGTGTCATCCGCAAACAGTGTGGATACCCGGGGGTCTTCGCTGAAGATGGTGAGTCCCTCTGGACTGATCGTTGCTCCTGAGGCTCATGCCGGCCCTTTCCTCCCCGAACAGATGAGCAGCCAGAGCCCGGTTGTCTCTGGCTCTGACTCTCTTGTCTTCTGTGCCCACTTTAATTTGGGCAGAATCCATCTGGATGGAGATTCTGCACGCCTGGCCTTCCCCAGAAATCATCTGAGGAACTTTGAGTAATTGTGAACATCTGGGGTGAGTCCAGGAGATTCTGATCCCACGGGTCTGGGGAGACTTCCAGGAATGGGAATTTTCTAGAGCCTCCAGAGGGGCTCTGACTGGAGAACAGGGATTCAACCTTCTGGTCTAAAGTGGTGGATTCTCAGTGATACTAATTGAATGAATGAATGAGTCGATCGGAGATGGTAAATGAATAAAGGCATAAATGAATGAAGTGAGTGAATGACACGTCTTCCTCCAGGGGAAGAAGTGCGGGTGTTTCTCCCCAGACCTGTGCTCTGGACTCCAAAACATGTGCCCATGTGTTCTGTAGCTTTTCAGACCATAACACGTAGCCGCCCCTGTTCCTTTATTTCCTTTTCCTCTCCGCACCTAACTCCCATCCTTCCCTTCCCCTCCCTGGGGCCTATTTTAGGCATCTTCTCGCCACCCCCTTGGTTTGCAGTTCCCTCTTCACACCCTTCTTCCAGCTCCTGCGTCCCCCGACGGCTCCCCACTCACCCTGCTCACCCCACCTCCTAGTGAAACGTTGGCAAACTGGGGAATCTTTCCTTATCCCCAGACACTTTTGTCAGAAGAGGCTTTGGACACAACAGTTACACACAACAGTTTTATTTGATGAACCACAGTGACTAACAGGGTTGGGAAATAGCGCAGACATCCCGCAGAACGGCCTTGGGGAGATGAGGTCCCAGACCACCAATGAGTTCCAGGCAGGAAGTCTCTGCAGGTCACCCAGAGACCCTCTTCCCTTCTAGAAGCCTCCTCCAACCTTGCCTGGAGGCTTGGAGGACAGCCCTGAGCGGAGGAAGTGACTGTGGAAGATGCTGGCCTGAGACGGAGACTGGCTGAGAGCAGCCCTCTCCCCTCTCCTCTCCCCTCTCCCCAGAGCTGGCTCCGTCCCAGGAGGACAAAGATGTCTATTTACATCAAGCTGGGCTCTTCCTGACTCCATCACTCACGTCTTGTCCTTCATCTCCAGAGTCCTCCAAGAACAAAACCCGGAATACACACCCCCGCCCCAGCTCACAAAAGCCCCCTGTCATCCTGAAGGTCTCCCTGGCAGTGTGGACGTCATGCTGTCAGCCCCTCCGTGGCTGTTCCAGTCTCTGTTCCCAGCCCCCCAATCCAGCGGAAGCCAAAAGGTCCAATCCTGAGGGTGAGGAGAGAAAAAACCCACCCAGTGCCTGTCACCCCATGGCAAGCAGGTGGTCTCCATAGGAAGAGGGTTATTGATCGCGGAACAACAGACAGTGATGGGGAAACGCCCACAAACTCTAAGCAAAGTGGGGAGGTATGGGAAAGGGGCCTGGGGGGTCCTTAGCCAGCCTCTTCCCTCGTAGAGCTAGAGAAGGAACAGGGACCCAGCTCGGTAGGATGTCCCCAAGCGTGGGCACCAGCTGCTCTGGGGAGCCATCTCCCTGCAGGGAGCCCGGCGTAAACACAGACGTCTCTTTTAAGGCACGGACCAGCCGTCGGAGCCCCCAAATCCAGTGGGGGTGGATTCTGTATTGCTTCAGCACATCCTGTCCCCCCGCGAGGGTAATGTGGGCAGAGCAGACATGGTGCAGACAGGAGAGGGAGGGGTTCATCCACGTGGCCTGGCCCCCTGCTCGTCCATCTAGATACACTTACATACGCACAGACACGAAACAAGCATCCCACCCCAACCACAGCGACTCCTGCTCTGAGCACCACCAGTGCCTAAGAAAACCGGCAGGGATGGCGGGGTGAGACGGGGGACAGGAAAGACCTATCTACGGCTCACGGTTCTGCAGGGGCTCGGAGGCACAGTGTGGGCAGGGGAGCCAAGCCGCCTCCAGACCAAGTGCAGACACCTTCCGTGTCCCCTGTTTCTCTCACGTCCCTTCCCAACTCCCCAATCGCATAATAAAACCCAGGAGCCTCCCAACTCCCACAGCAAGTAGGGGAAGAATGAAACATCTGAGGATGAGGAAATCTGGAGACAGCACATCTAGTTGGCATCACAGAGGGCCTGCAGGAAAGGGGACTTTCTTCGGGGATCACGCCAGCCCCAGTGCTTGAAATGACAGGGAACTGATCCAATTTTAGGGAAAGTTCTGGAGCTCCGGGCCCCAGGGACTGGAGCACTAATTCTCAGCTGAGGCCAGCCCACCCCCGCGCCAGCCCTTCCCTGCCTCCCGCTCAGAAAACAGGATGAAGAACAGGGTTAGTCTCTGCGAGCGTCAGGATCCTTAACCCTCGGGGTTCCTCCGAATAGAGGGGCCGCCGTGAGAGGGCGCTGGAGCCAGAAGGTCGGAGCCAGAAGGTCAGAGCTAGAAGGTCGGATGAGGAGCAACAGTGGCAGAGAGAGAGGGAAAACTAAAAGGGAAGGAGAGAGAAAAGAGGGCTGGAGATCTAAAAAAGGGGTGGAGGGGAACAAACTTTTTTGAGTCAGGACTCACACCTCAACATTTTAGGGTCAATATGACTCTCCCCCATTTTATACCAAAGGAGAAACCGAGGCTCCGCGAGGTTACGAGACTTGTGCAAGCTCAGTTCTGCAGGGCTCAGTCTCTTTCCACTAAACCACAAACCTCCGAGAAAGAATAAAGGACTAAGAGGAGGAGGGGGCTGGGCGGGAGGCGCGGGCAGGGAAGGGGCGACGTGCAGGGCAGAAGGCGCAGCCACACTACCTGATATCCAGAGCAAGGGCTGGGAGCACCCGGGGCACCAGCCTTCTCCCCGATGCCAGCCCTAGTCGACCACCAGGGTCTCCTGGCTGTAGGGGATGGATTTCTCGTGTGCCTGCTCCCCGCCCTTCCCCATGTTGGGGCCGGGCCCCTGGCTGTGCCCCGAAGAGTAGCTGGCCGACTTCTCCCCACTGCTGCTGTGGGAGGAGCCCCCGCACCTGGTCTGGCCCCAGCAGAGCACGGAGGTGCAGGCCTGGCGGAAGCGGGGGTCGAAGAAGGCGTAGAGGAAGGGGTTGAGGCAGCTGTTGACGTAGCTGATGCAGGTGCAGTAGGGGAAGACGTTCATGAGGAAGAGGTCGAAGTCGCAGGGCCAGTGCAGCAGGCTGCCCAGCATGTAGAGCGTCTTCACCAGGTGGTAGGGCATCCAGCACAGGGCGAAGGTCACCACCAGCACCACGATGATGCTGAGCAGCCGGCGCCGCTTGCGCAGGCCCTCGATGCGCTCCTTGCGGAAGTGGCCGGCGATGGTCTGGGCGATGAAGAAGTAACAGGTCAGCATGATGGTGAAGGGCACCACGAAGCCCACGGCGGTGGACGAGACCCCCAGGCCCACCTCCCAGGCCCACTCTGAGCTCGAGGTCGCCACCATGGAGTAGTCCATGTAGCACTGCACCTTGGTGCTGTTCTCCAGGTCCCCGGTGGAGCGGAACACCATGACGGGCATGGCCAGGAGGGCGGCCAGCACCCACAGCACCGCGGTGGCCACGGCCCCGCTGACCCGCAGCCTCAGCCGAGCGTTGGCCACTGGCCTCACGATGGCCAGGTAGCGGTCGAAGCTGAGGCCGGTGAGGCAGAAGACGCTGGCGTACATGTTGACAAAGATGAGATAGCTGCTGAGCTTGCACGAGAAGGTCCCAAAGGGCCAGTCGTAGTCCCGGTAGGTGTAGGTGGCCCACAGGGGCAGGGTCACCACGAAGGTCAGGTCGGCGACTGCCAGGCTGGCGATGAAGATGTCAGCCGAGCGCCTCTTCTCCCGGCTGCTCCGAAACACAGTCCAGAGCACCAGACCGTTGCCCGTGGTGCCCAGGAGGAAGACCAAGATGTAGATGGCGGGGATGAGGGCCCCCGAGGACTTCCAGTCCGTGTACTCACACTCAGACTGGTTGTCCGCCCCGTAGTAGTTGTCAAAATCGCCACCTTCCTCCATGCTGGGGAGTGAAGAAGGGCAGGGGGCCCCGGGGGTACCAGCTCCGTGGCTCTGTCACCAACTCAGCAAGCACCTTGGGCTTCTGGCTTGAGCCTCAGAGGGTGAGAAGGGCTGACAGTGCCCAGAGCCCTTCCCAGCACACAGGAGGGGCTGCCTCTGGGTTCTCCAGATCCTGGAGGACGCCTCTCTCCTGCAGACTTTGCTCCTGCCTTGCCCCAGTCTCAGCTGAGACACTTCCTTGCACCCTCCTGAGGCCCTGTCTCCTCCTTGCCTAGTCACTCCCTCCTCCCACCTCCAGACCAACCCCTCTCTGGTGAGACTTAAGATCTTTAAGTCACAGCCCACTTTTTTTTTCCTTGTCACTGGGCAAGTGGACCAAATTGACTCCTGCCGTGCTGGGCAGAACGTTATCTGAGGTTTGCAAGCCTGCTCTCCTCTGGCCCCGCCTCCTGCCCCTGGCTGCCACCTACCTTCACCCCAGCCTCTGTCCCTGGCTTCCTCTGGCCACCACCTCCTGCCTGCCCTTTGGGACACCCCCTCCCCAGCCCTCCCCAACCTCCTGCTCTCACCCCCTCCCATCCCATCTAGATGGGACACATTATGCAGATTGAAATCCAGCCTGAGCTGGAGCCAGGGCTGGTAGGGAGCAAGAAGGGTGTGAGATTTCACAGGGTGGTCTGAGCATCTGGCAGGCCCTCCTGGCCCCTCCGCCCCTGCACTCCCAGCCCCCACCCAGACCAGGCTGCACACTGGGACGCTCTTCCCACTCTCCCTCTCTCTTTGTCTTCCTCTCCCCCTTGGCTCCAACCGTCCCTCTGACACAAGTAGAGGGCAATTTCTCAAGAATTCATAAGCTGTTGGCAGATTGCAGTTTGCAGGTGGCATAGCAAGTTTTAAAAGGCTGAAGACAGTCACGGGATAAAAGAAACCCAGGACAAAATGATCTCTAATCAAGTCATTATATCTATGGGGAGACTGAAGCCCAACAAGGTAAATGTCTTGCCCACTGCCATAGGGTGAATTTTGTTATGGTTGGTTGTTTGCCTTTTTTCTTCTCCAAGTACGCATGTAACACAGTGCCTGGCATGTGCTAGGCGATCACTAAATGGCTACTGAGTAAGTGGAAGGATGAATTCGGGAGTGAGTGAGAAGAAACGTCCATATATAGAGGAATGAGTGTATGCATTACGATGTGGCGGGAATGTGGACACACTGAAGTCCTCAGGTCCTCACTGCCCTCCATGGACCAGGAGGTCCCCGCAAGGCCACATGGGCCAGGAAGTTGAGATAGAGGAGGAGGCGGCCGTGGGCACAGTTCCACAGAAGCTCTCTTTGTTCCGTCCGCTCACTTCTCCAGGACCTCTAGGCAGGAAGAAGAGAAGGATGCACAAGATAAAACAAACAAAAGAAATGTGCACCCTTTCCACCACCCCCAGTGGGGGAGAGGCCACCTAACGCTGGGCGAGAGTGAGTTGGAGCAAAGGAGACGAGTCCAGGCCACATCCAGGCAAAGGGCTCCCATGCTGGAATCCATTGTCCGGAGGAGAGTTGGTCAGAAAATCTTCTGCAGGGATCTTAAAGCAGGGGCCCCAAACCCAAACACCTGCGAAAGCCAGGCCAAGAGTGTACATGAGTAAAACAGCCAGTGTGAGACCAGGGTGGGCGGAGACTGTGCCAACTGGGGAAAGCGCATGGCATGCAAAGGACGCATGCTCGGCTCCGGCCTCCGCCTGCCCTGCAGAAACGTGGGCCCAGCGTTACCGTGCCGTAGGGTTTCTCCAAGATAATTTTAAATTCTGGAGTCTTATTTTTTAAAATTCCAGATTCAGAAATTTTGGAAATTAACTTCACTTTGAAGAAAAAAAAAAAAAACACAGAACAGGACAAGTAAAACATGTCCTCAGGCCCCCAGTGGGGGCTCTTTGAACAGGAGCTTGCCAAAAATGGAATGTGGGAGAAGAGAGGGGATAGGCCAGAAGGAAGGGACATAAAATGCAAGCTGGAGAAAGCCCTGGGATGCAGCGGGGAGATGCAGGGGAGAAGGCTGGGGAGAGAGGTTAGAAAGATCCTAAGAGCCTTTGGTGACCTTTCCCTAAAGGCAACATGGAACGTGTCCGTGTTTCTCATGAGGATTACATATCGCCGCTCACTACATGCTGGGCTTTCTTCTAAACATTTTATGTATATTTATGTTCTTTTTTAATCACCAAACAACGTGAGGAGGTAGGTGCAGATCAGGAAACCAAGACACGGGGAGGTGAAGTAACCTGGCCAAGATCACCCAGCTAATCATCGTCGGAGCCAGAATTTGAACCGAAGCTGTCTTGAGCCCATGGACTAAACAGCTATCCCCCCAAAGAAAAAACTCCAATTCTTTTTAAATTGGGGAGTTTGTCATCTTCTAAGAATTATAGAAATGTAGGACAATGTTAAGATATCTGTAATTTACTTTAAAATGAGCACTCTTGAGTGAGATTAAAAGTAGATTGACGATTTAGAGACACTCCTCACTCTTGATTAGACACGATGTAAGAATCCTGCCAGGCAGTAGCAGGGTAGCTAACTTAGGGTTAGCACGACGGACTTGATCCAGAAACTGCCCTGGGTCTGGCCACTGCCAAAGACAATTCCTGGTTGCCTAGTGCCAGCTAGAATGTCGATAGGACCCTGCCTCTGGAATCTTACCAGTCTGGGAAATGGTGGTCAGTACACTCAGTAGGACTAAGATCTGGGGCTTCATCGACCCCACAGTATACAGTGCAGGAACTGCCTGGGGCCTGCTCTCTCCTGCATGTCTCTCTAATAGAAGTTCTGTGCAGGTGGCAGAACAGCTTTCATTATAACCAGATGGAAATGGTTAATCTTCAGCCATGTCAGACTACTCCAGTGCAGGCTGCCTTTACCTACCAGAAGGACCTAGGAGTTGTACAGGGACCAGTTTGGCCCAGGGCAGATCATAGTAGACGGCTCTGTCATGAGTAAATATTATTGCTCAGGACATTCCAGGATAAAGACCAGGTTTGAGACCCTCTAGTGAGCCCAGTTCTTCCCTGGTTCTCCCAGAAAGATGCAGGCGCCCGTGCGCTTTGTGGCTAGAAATACAGAGGAAGGGGAGCAAGTGAGCTTGGAGTGTCCCTAAATTCAGGTCCCCATCTCCCTCCCACCAGCTGCTCCCACTCGGATCCAGATAGGAGCCTGGTGACTCTGTGGGAGAGGATATGGATCCAAGTCCGTAATCCTCTGGCCTCCAGCTCTTGGCCCCAGAGGGGCCGTTAATCTCACCAGAGGAACCAGACTCGTCTGAAGAGGAGGGAATTGGGGTCTGGGCTGGGAGGCCACTGCTGGGAGGGCCAGGGTGGGCAGAGTGTTGATAAGATCAGACCTCTAGCCAAGAGCCAGCTGAAGCCAGATGGCCTGAGTGCCCCCAGCAATGCAGCCCAAAATGAGCAGAATCACCAGCTTCACTCCTCACCCCCCCATCTGATCTGTCCCTGTCACACATTGCGCCGTCCCACACGGAAGATGAAAGATGAGTAAATAAGACCAGTAGCTGAAGGCTGACCTCATGAGACCGAAGGCCCAGAAGTTACCCATGTACCAGACATAGGAGAGACCTGGGACAGATACCTGCTTTTTGCTTCTCTACCCCCTCACCTGGGTGCCTGGCAAATGCCTGTTGAATCAAAGCAACAGAAATGCCCTCAGGAGAAGGAAGGCAAAGACTTGGGTCTTTTCCCCACGGCTGCGCTAGGGCGTTAACAAGGGCACCTTTTTCCTAAATTGATCCAGAATGATCTACGCTGAGTCATCTGGCAAACCGGCAGGTCTGTTGGCGGGGGTGCCCGGAGCTGGCCTGCCCTGGAGAGGCCTGAGCAGGTTTCCTGGCGGACTTCTCTCTCTCCTGGGTGATTTCTTCAGAGTATTGTGGTGAGACTCAGATGAATGGCTCCTGGCAGAAAAGCACCCCAGACCTGACACAGCATCCTTTGAGGAGAGCCCAGACTGCTGGGAGACCTCTGGAGTCAGTGGTTCGATAGCTCTCACCCACCCCACCCCCAGATTTATTCCTGGCAGAGGAAGCAAAAACTGGCTTGGCCCTGTGCCCGTGGATGATGTGGCTGTGTGCATGTTGTGAGTGCAAGCTTTGTGCATGTCATGAGGCCACTTGGGCGTGAAGTTTGAACATGTTTGTGAGCAAACTGGACTTGTATGTGCACAGGGATATGAGTGTGCATTGGGTGCACATATTCATACACGTAGAAGAGGGTGCTTGCTTGTGTGTGCATGGGGTATGAGTGTGCATTGAGTGTACACATTCATGTATGTAGAATAGTGTGCTTGCTTGAGTGTGCATGGGTTATGAGTGTGCATTGAGTGCACATATTCATGCACGTAGAAGAGTGTGCTTGTTTGAGTGTGTATGGGGTATGAGTGTGCATTGAGTGTACACATTCATGCATGTAGAATAGTGTGCTTGCTTGTGTGTGCATGGGGTATGAGTGTGCATTGAGTGTACACATTCATGCATGTAGAAGAATGTGCTTGCTTGAATGTGCATGGGGTATGAGTGTGCATTGAGTGCACATATTCATGCATGTAGAAGAGTGTGCTTGCTTGTGTGTGTATGGGGTATGAGTGTGCATTGAGTGTACACATTCATGCATGTAGAAGAGTGTACCTGCTTGTGTATTGTGGGTTATGAATACGTGTTGGGTGCAAGTATTTACCCAATGAATATATATTGAGTGAGTAGAACAGTGTCCTTGCTTGTGTGTAGTGAAATATAAATGTACATTGGGTGCATGCATTCATGCATGGAGAAGAGTGCGCTTGCTTGCGTGTGGTAGGGTATAAATGTGCATTGGGTGCATGCATTCGTGCATGTAGAAGAGTGTGTCTTCTTGGGTGTAGTGGGATATCAGGGTGCACTGGGTGAAAACATTCACCCAACAGTATACGTAGGGTACGTAGAAGATTGTGCTTGCTTGTGTCTAGTGGGATCAGGGATCTGGATAAACATCCTGCTTGGCAGACAGGAAGGTATGGTTAATTGGATCTCTCTAAGACTTTGGGGTGAGGGGAGAAAAGCTGGACCCCTCTGCTGGGTCCTCACCCAGACTCTGCCCAGAGCTCTGGGCTGGGGACATCAAAGTGGAAGTGCTGTCTTTCCCTGCCCTTCCTGACTTCTCACCTCCTCCCTTCCAGCCCTCCGCTCCAGCCCCCTCA